GTGGGGGGGGGGGGGGCAGAGATAATGATGATGTATTACTCGCTGGTAAAAAGCGAGCAAAAGAAGTCATGATCTATTTTAACAGAAAGTGCTCTATCAACTGGAAGGGAGAACTGAATTTCAGAAACGCGAGAAAATAAAAGAAGTTCATGAACGATTATTTTATGAATATGCAGGAAGTCGGGTTTCATCCGACACAGTAGACGCAGCACCTCAAAAGGACATGTATAAGGCCTTCGACTTCTATGATTTGAGTACAGTACTATTAAAATAATATTTTCTTAACGTGATTCTATTAACGTTTCCATTAAACACTTGAAATGAAGTGCAAAAACGTTTCAGGAATGGTAGACATGTTCGAAAGTTTTAGTTAAGAACTGTAAGGATATATATACAGTTTCTACTGAAAATTTTTGAGATGATTGTAATAATGCACAATTGTTTCCTAGAATGTCTTTCTAGTTTTGTTTTACACTATCAAAAGGGTTCGTTATAATAAAGGAAACCTCACACTTAATCGCCACCATCCTGCACTAATCTTACAGGCAGTGTTATATTACTAGTTTAACTGGTAGCATGGACTATGCCCAAACGAGAAAAAGACGGGCTACATTCTCAACGATTACATCACGTTCGTAAAAGAATGTAATTTTAAAAGGTTTACCAAATCTCAAAATCCCTATCTCCATGAACACATATTAGACTCTAGTTCCGGGACTCGTGTATGTTAGACAGCGGCAGTGCTGAAGTACGCTAATCTCCCTCTCAAGAGCTTTATCTTCAGATTTCGCATCTTCCTCGGTCCTGACACGCACTTCATAGGATTTTCAGCCCAAATCGTTTTATCTACATGAGAAGTCAACCAATGGCAGAATCCACCAGACCGGAAGTACAGCGGGCCGAGGCCATAACAACAAAGCGCCCAGAGAAAGTTCAGGAAGAAAGAAAATGCAGTCTCTGCGAAAGAAGATTCAGGAACTCCATGGGACATCACATCATTAACGTTTATGAGGGAAGCAACAGTTCGAGGTAAATGGTTCAAACGACTGCCAATCGATATAATAATGCAATTCTTCCGCTTTGTCCCCTTATTTGGGGGAACATCTTATCACTTTGCTTCGTAAGTGCACGTGGGAGACTGAATTATTTTGAACATTTTATCCATCTGAAGGCGTAAGACATATAATGCCTGCGTGTTTTACAACATATTACTGAGTAATGTATTCATAAAAGATGATTCAATGCTGACACATTTCGAATCAGTTGTCACAAGCGAGGAGAAAAATCAAAACTAACATCACATGTTACAAGCAAGTAGTTTATCATTGTTGTATTTCTAAAAAATTATAGAACACCATACAGTTCATTTCAAAGCATTAATATTTAAGTATGTTCCATTTTTGTAACTGTCTGATCTTTCAAGATAGAAGCATTTTACAAAGTTCTGAACCAGTCAAACTCGTAACTGTAGGAAAGATACAGAGATTTTAAACCACGCTTAAACATGTTGCCAAGAAATTCTAAAGTTTTTCAATAAATCTAGAATTATGTTCTATAAATCTGTGCCGATGACTGAAAATGAACAAAATTAGATATGGTAACTGAAACGTTAACAAACAAATTGTGTTTGCCGAATGTCGTGGTTAATTGGTTAACATTTCTGCTTATTATTCTTAAAAACTCTAGTTTAAATTAATTACCGGAGGCTGGTTATGCAGATTTAAGCGTCTTTCGTGGTTTCTCTTAGTCCCTTCTAGCAAAGCCGAAATACTTAAAATAGGGCCCGAATGCCCCTTCTATATTCCTTCTACATCATCATTCACACTCTTCAAACTTCTAACGTCTATCACTGACATCAAGAATTCTCGTACTGCTTGGCTGACATAAAATACTCTTGAGTTCTACTGTATAAAATACTGTGTTATGCAACTCCGGCTTTCCACGATTCTCTTTTCAATTAAGTACAAAACTTCTTATTCCTTTACTCATCACCAATGCAAAGAAACATCAGTATTCAGCATTATTAAATATGCTGTAGCTTTAACTCAAACACAAAATACTAACACATTTCACATTCACTGACAAGTACTAACTCCATACAACAAAATACTTCTTTAGAATCCCAGTTTCTCAGCTAGACAACAAACTACCGGCCTTTTATAGAAACCCAAGGTTCACTGTCATGTTCACAACAGCTCGCCATTGGTTTCTGAGTAGCATAAATCGACCCCCTTCTTAAGAATCCGTTTTAATATCATCCTCCAATTTAAACCTAGGATTTTCAAATGTCTCTTGCCATCAGGATATCCAATCTAGGAAACAGTGTATTTCACTTTGCGAATCCTTAGTTCTGTCGCACTGATCCGAAAGCTTTGCATGAAATCTAAATTAATATGCGATGAGAGATGCTGATGAAAGGAACGATAAATCTCGAATTCCATGCCTCAAAATATAGATCAAAAGAGACGGAATAAATGCGTTGTACGTGTGAAGATGGAACTGTACTCGAAGTTTCTCGTGTGGAGTTCCGTATCGAGCGTATAATAGAATTCTGACTGCTTCGTTATATTTAAGGGAACCTTAGGCAATGTATTATACGTCGCGTTAGCTTTCTCTTTTGTTTCACCGATACTCGGTTCTATTTTCAGTGATTTGAAAATGGCTTAGTCGTTAGGGGAACGTTGACACGCTTCTACAATGAGACGCTCATATTTAGTAATCTGCTAAATTTCGAAATATTACATAATAATGACTGTTACTCTTAACCAAGAAATGTTTTGTAGGATTTGAGGTTTTCACGACGGTGAGTCTGAAGATCACTGTCTTCTGGGTTGTTGCGCCGTGTAGTCTGGTACTCTGAAGAACACAGCAGGCACTCTGAAACGCCAGCAAACTTCTACCAGACTACACGGGCAACAACCCAGAAGGCAGCCATCTTCACACTCACTTTATTCTCCCTGTTAAGATAAATGGATCAGTTGAGGAAACATGTCGGAAATATTTTAAAATTAAGAGTTCCGTTTCAAGTTTAATTTACGGGTTTAACAGAAGCCAAGAATTTTATTGTACGCGCTGTCTTAAGTTTCAGGCGTCTCAGAATAAGTTGATTCTCACTATACTAAATATAACCTAAAAGACTTCCTCTTTGTAATTTAGGGTCACGAAATTCGGGCAGTAGTTATCTTCTCTTCCCGTCTCCAGCCGCCTCAGTCTCTCTCTCCCCCTCTCTTTCCAACACTGCTCTTTTCTGGCAGCGATTTCGGGTAGGAAGAAGGCGGGCGTGACACGGGGCTTCTCCTCGTCTCCGCACTGCGGTCACGGACTGATCCTACAGCGTGGCGCATCAACGCCACAGCAACAACGAGGTGGGTTTGTGATGTCGCAATAAAAACACAATTTGTGAATTCTCCATGCATTATTATTGTGAACAGGGGGACTTTTATATTTAAATTTAAATTTACAACAAAGAACCACGGGTTTCTGTATATCGAATTTATCCTAAATCCAATGGTGGAAATGGTTTTGCAGAACAAAGCAGACGCTCCAGAGGAATATATATCCTTAGTGAATGACCAGCAAATATTACAAAGGAAATTGATACAATGCAGGTTAAGGAATTTGTTTGTCATGAGTCGCTGTTGGAAATGGCATTTACATCGCCGCCTTCATCTATTAAATAAACTGCATGGAACAGAGTCTTTCTTGAGAAGCTAATACTACGCCAATTAAGTCACGAAATTCTGTGACTTTTATAAAATTCAAAGGTTCATTACAGTGTTTACAAGAGTCCGCAAACGATCCTGAACCTGAAACAGAATAATCAAATGTACACTCTCCAACCTTCCACTTTAATATTATCCTACCATCTAAGTTTAGGTCCTCCAAATGGCCTCCGCCTTCATTCTATCTGATTCTTAGTTCGAGCCTTGCTTAAGCATTTCCTTTTACGGTAAGACGAACGATCCGCAAGATTTTTGGCAGACTTTATAACGTCATACCTCGTGACAACTCGTATGCTGAGAGTGCGGTGTGAACTGAAAATGTCACATCTTCATTCTATATAGATTGAACATCCCACAATGCCATCTTTCCGTAAATGAACAGTTGAAGATTGGAGCATTCTGAGGCAGCGTGCGTCTATCCAATTAATTTTGCGTCTCTTGTATTTACACGTAATTGAAAATGGGACAGATGTAAACGTCGTTAATAAACAACCTCAGCGGTAAAGAAAGAAAGGTAATCGATCGTCAACACAGTTTGAACACCGGTAACGCCTGTCTCGTATTCGGGACATACCAGGTTCAAATCCCGGCTGGGGTTTGGTAACCTTCAAGTACTGGAAAGAGGACAGATATGAGTTGCGACATTGTACACAAGAGAGACAGCCCATGGACTTTCTACTTTCATCTGTACTTATCCCAAGGGGATTTCAAGTCATTTCTAGGACTAGTGAATGTACTGACCGTGACATTTATTCCATATATATCATATCACTGACAGTTGTAACAGACGACATGTGAAAATTATGAACATTCTGTGTACTTTACAAGTTAGCCGTTTATACCTTATTCTTCCTTTACTTTTACTAGCGAATATTATTTTTAATAAACCCCTAAATTTACATTGTAACAAAAGATTTAAATCTATAATCTGAAGCGTTCACGCCGACTAACATTAATACAATCTTCTGCGCCATCAGCCGTGGTTAAAAAACGATGTTTCAGACCAGCTCCGTCCCCATCATCAAGATTTAATGTAACAGTTTATCCAAACCAACCCACATATAACTAACCTCTACCGTAGGTTTGAATCTGAAATAAAAAAACCAACCCACATATAACTAACCTCTATCGTAGGTTTGAATCTGGCTCGTACCTGCAATAAATAATCAAAAACAATGAAGGTATAAATGTATTTTAAAATATTTGTACTCTTCTGGAATACAAGTTTTCTCTATTATCAGGAATAATGACCACAAAATCGTCTATATCCCTAAATTAATCCAGACCGGATAAGGAATACCACTAAAAATGTCGACAGACTAAACCGCAGGTGCCTACTGCTGGCCAAATTACTTTAGTAAAATATTTCAGGACGATGAATGCGACATTAACTACTCGCTGTCTTCAACACCATGATCTTGCCTGTACCAAGAAACCAGCAGCACAATACAGTACAATCAATAACATCACAGGATGTGAATGTAACGCTACGTGGTTTCAGATTCCGGGCAATGCATGGATTGTAGCGTGTAATTTTCATGTCGTATTATTAAATCCACCAATTACAGCAGCTCTCATTGTCAAAATCTAGCAGCTTGTCGAAAGCACGCGAGAGTAGCTAGTCTACAGTCCTGGATATGCTTTCATCCGTACAGACGTTAACAAATATTGCAAACTGATATCCATACAAATTAGTAATCTGTTTCCACTGATATAAATTTACACTGCCCCTAAATTGTGTACTCGTGTGTTTATGATGGAGCTCGACATTCTAGGCCCACAAGTAACGCTTTACTACAGCCATCAAACTGGGTTAAAAAACGGACGAAATGATCAATGGTTACCTGTTCGCAGATTGCTACATATAGTACTGCAGACCTTTTACATTTTCAAGGTCATTCTAAAGCCATTTTTTCAAACGCATATTTCTGTCAATCTATAGGAATCTGAGTAACCATACTCATGTGAGTTTGAGGTCACCGACAGGTCAGGGTCATGTCAAGGTGACGGCAATATCAGTCCTATGCCTTGCCGAATAGATGCCTTTAAAATTTTCAAGTTCATTCGAAAGAAATGTAAAGGATTCCAGGATAAAACATTTATAGGTTTTAAAGACGTCTGTGACTCATTAAGGGCAGAGGAACGGTATAATTTCCTAATTAAATTTGGCATACACAGGAACTTTCAGGTTTATTAAAACGTGTATTCAAAAAGTGTGCGCTAAGGTTTCGTACAGTCAATGCAATATGACAAAAACATAGATTCTCATTTAATTAAAACTAAAAGTTTGTTTAGCCCCGTACGTAAAGTGCTCCTTAAAGGAATGAAAATAATAAAAAATAAAACTGGCCCAATAAAATTTAAAGATGGCCTATGCTTGTCCAAATCGGTCCGCTAATTTTGGCGCTGTTATTTGCGGACAAACAAAAACTGACTCATATGACAAAAATAACAAGTAGTCTTCAAAACTGTGTTTTAAACGCACATAAAATATTTCTACTACATGACTTCATTATCATCTTCTTTACCGGTTCGGTTAAAATTGCTAGAAAATAAAATCATCAAAATCTCAGGACCTAACTCTGATAAAGTATTACAATTACAATAGTGTCCACACACACTGACCGTACTTTTAAAGGTCCGTCCAGACTACCCATTCTCGTTATTCGTCGTAAATGTGGACGGTTTCACGAGCTTGAGTCAAAGAGGCACGACCAACCGGAGCTTCCAGGGCTTCGATACATTGTTAAACAATGTTAATAGAGCTGTCTGCACACACTGTCAATAATCGCCGCGAGCCTCTGTAAGTACCAGTAATCAGGACGCACTCTAAAATGTATCATGATCGTAATGCTACAATACCGAACATATTACTGGATCATTTATTTTTATAACTCAGTTTAACGACCTGCAAGTTTGCACGACACTGAGCTACATGGTCATGAGGTTAAAGTAGGATTACCTTTGGTCTGTAAGTCAGCATAGCTGCAGAAACACTACTATTTCAAATTGTAAATCTCCATGGAATTCTATACCACATCTACCGAATGCCTGGCGTTGAGCGACTGTGTTAAACAGATCACAAAATCTTGAACATCCAACCCCATTTCCCTAGTCCTCAGTCTACTAACCCTACAGAATTAACCGCTCTGCTTGCTCGCTATAGCCGTACCAGAACTACGTTCTAATTTCATACAGCAATCTCATCTGCATTTCAAATTGTACTGTCTTTTATTATTGTCATCAGAAATGGCTACAAACTTTAATGGCCTTTTTATGCAGTATGTGTTTTTGCAGGAAGATGAATTAATGCATTTCAAAATAATTAATAACATTTAAAAACAACCTTAGCAGCAAATAGAAAGTATAATAAACATCAAAACACCCATTTATCTTATCAGTAAGTACATCCTAGAAGATCTACTTTGAATGCTCTATTTCTATAAGTAGGCCTATAGTAAGTGGATCATTAGAGTGATTAGACAGTTACATAAATAAAATTTAGTAGCCATAATTTACAAAAAATTCCATTAAATTATGGAATAAAACAATATTTAGTTGCAGCCAGCCTTTGTCACCGCAGCTAATTTCGGATGGAGGAAACATGCAGATAAAGCCAGTACCTGTGAAAATATTGAATTAGCATTCGCGGACAGCTAAAGAGGGATCTAGCACTGTAACATTTATCATGATACAACATTTTATGAGAACCACTGACATGGAAAGAATTTTTTCCAAGAAGAGTAAAGCTTGTAAAGCTTCGAGTTTAAAAGAAGACGGTGATTTTTTGCTGCAAGACTGTTAGCTGTGCTTCACGAAGCTAGTTACCACGGTCGCCATATAACAGAACAGCACATCTAAATTCGTCTTCATAAACTGTCATGGCAATGTTTCCACCAAAACACAAGTCCTAAAAAATGTGTTTACATGTGACATAACGGGGGCTGACCATGTGACGTAGCACGAACTCGGAGGGAGAACGCTGGAGGATCTCAGTAGGGATTTGCAATCTTGAATGGAGAAGGGATGTAGGATCCCTTCCTAAACATTTTTCTAATATTCAGCTATTTTTAACGTACATAAAGCAGACACTAACGCAACTAGCAGCTTACTGATAAGATCGACATAGAGTTACTAGCAGCTTACTGATAAGATCGACATTGAGCTTATATTTGAAATGATATATTTGATTTACATAATCTTTAATCTAATCTTATTACAGAATATTTGTGCCTTCGTATTCATTATTAATCTATAAAAAGAACCGAAATAACATGTTTGTGCTGACCAATTCACAACTTCACATAACATTTCCATCCGCTTTCATCACCATGCATTTTGATGCGGTTTCAAATAAATTAAGTAAAAAAGTATAATAAATACACATTTAATTTCAAATATTTACAATGTATTGCCGACTGCGGTGGAACAAAACAAACAAGTTCTCCGATACTTTTTGGAAAAAAGAATAAAACCACATCGCGCAACGCTTTTTACCTAATATCGGTTTACACTGATGAAATGTGATGCTGCAACTCCTAACCCACATCAATGACACAGAGATCGTCAAAGTTATAAAATAAGATTTTTTTTCCTGTTTCCCAAGTTTACATTTAATAACCGATAAAAGCGTTTATCCAGACTACAATACGTTTCATAAAGTTTTATCGCAATAAATTATAGAAGGAGTAAAATCTATGGACTGGCAGCTGACGCAGAATATAGAGGCATCGGCCATCCTTTTCAGAGGTCTTCACCGATAAACTTCACATACACATGAATGATGTCCAGAGGGCGTGGCGGTGGTGTGGCATCCATGCCGTTGGATTTGGTGCCCAGGTTAGCAACGTTAAATACTCGCTCACTGAATGGGATGACAGCTGCACTTTATGGGCGCTCCATAAAGGAGAGGTTCAACAGAAACTCCCGGCTGCGCGAACATGGTACAGGGAGAAACCAGTGAGCAGAGAAACGAAAAATATTCAAATTTTTACAAAAGTGACAAGCAAGGCATTGAAAGGGCGTTTTAAAGTCCGTGAGGTGTGAATTTTGAAGTCAGCTGAATGGGTTTTTCGAAGGCGAGA